TAATATATATTATATATTATTAATATTTTTATCTATTACGGATGTATGTATCACACTTATACCCCATATACAAACTACACGAATAAGTTCTGTCTTCCTTTTATAGCGTATCCCTCCTATCGCGTCTTCGTTTTTATCGCAATAGTTATACCGAACGCAACATTTCTCCTACTCTAATACGTTAATCGAGACGACGTTTATCCCCTTTTGCTCTCCATAAAGTATCCAACAGTCCGTGAACAAAGTGCGCGTGAAAGAAATTGACGATGTGGACGATTACTTTAAATAAACACACATTTCGCGTGGTCTTTCCAAAACCGGTACGTAGCATTTTATAGTATACATTTAAAAAAAATCGTGTGATATTATTTACATATACTTCGCATAATACTTTTTTCATAATAGTTTTTTACATAATATTTCTAGACCAAATATGCAATGTTCGAGGGCGATATTCGTATAGACGGATTCGTAAACATCGAGCACCGGCGCTGGATACGATAGGTGCGACGGAACGCGCGAGAGAATCTCGCCGACTTATGGAGAGACAGCGCGTGTGTTCGACGCCGCTAACGGAGGGACGCGTCGAGACATTTTCTGCTTGAGAAAATTGTTCGATCTCGAGCCATACGACGGATGCGAAGAGCGGACGAGACGAGACCTCGTGAACTTACGGGAAGACGCTGCGCGGGCTCGCGAATGCGACGCCGACGACGAAGAAACGAACCGGAACATTTCGAGCAACATGGAACGGTGGGAAGCGGACAGCGAAACGAGCGAACCGATACACGAGATCGCGCGAGAGGAATGGCGCGAAACGGATAGCGAAACGGGGGAACCGATACACGCGATCGCGAGAGAAGGATAACGCGAGGCGCGTACGATAAGAAAGAATAGTGTGAAATACAGAGCGATAGTATAGTGAAAAAGTATAACGTTCGCGAAGGTGATAAATAAAAATTACTAATATTCAATATATTTGTATTTATTAAGTAAATATAAGTATGTATATATGTGTATGCAATATGTATATAGATATATGTATAACTATATGTATTTATATGTATCTACATATATAAGTATAGATATGTAAGTATGCGTATATAAGTATAGATATATAAGTATAGGTATGTAGATATGCGTAGGTATATAAATATGTAAATCTGCATGTCCCTTCTTCTGAAACAAAAACGACTATTATTAGCGAACTAAATATACAGAGAGGAATTATAAATAAATGTATAAAGAAAATACTCACAATTATTTATATTAGTTGGCGGTGGCGGGAGCTCGGACGTTGACTGGAGTTCATTCTGAAGTTCCCGTTCATTATTTTTACCTTCTTTTATTAGCCACATCTTGCGCAACGCCCTATGAACATCTCGCGCTTGCGTATGCAAAACTTTGGTTCGAGCGGAAAGCTCGGCCAAAGCGTGATTCTCACGCCTGTTGATATCCGTTTTCTACAAAATATTAGAATATAAAAAATGAATCAACCGCATCATCATCATCGTTAATAACGTGCAAATACTTACAACAATTTTTTGACGTCTCCATCTATTTCAAAATCGATGCAAAACAAATTTGGGCTTTGGTGTATCACCCCACGAGCTTCGGTTCGCAAATCGGTTGCCATCATTGACACTGCCGCAGCCTTTCTCTCTATCTCGTCGGCTGCTACCGTGACATAATCGGCCACGTCAATAATTTGATTAATTACATCCATCGCTCGTGTTTCAACGATACTTTGTTCTGCGAAACGATCTCGCGCTCCTTTTATGAGCGGTTAAAACGCATTTCGCTTGCATGGAAACTTTTTCGGAGCGACCCCGCGTTCCTTCTATAAACAGATGGCGATATGATTTCGTCGATCGCAGCATTTTCTCCGTTTCTCGGAGCGATCTCTGGCTCCTTCTATAAACAGATGGCGATATGATTTTGTCGATCGCAGCATTTTCTTCGTGTTTCCTCGAACGAATCATCGAGAATCGCGCTTTCATCGAATGAGTCATCGATATATCGCGCATAAACAAACAAAAATAAAAAGCGACCGAAGAGACGCTTTCTCGACGAACCATCGAGTATTGCGCGTCGAATAAATCATCGGTTCCCCTCATCTGGAAATAAACATATAAAAATCATCTGGAATAAACATATAAAAATAGAAAGCGATAAAGACGCTTTTTGGAAACAACTGCGCTTTTCCTCTAACCTAACCTAACCTGACCTAACCTAACCTAACTTGAGCTTATTTCCCCCTCTACTCCAAATTTGGGCGATAGAGACAAAAATAAGCGTTTCGTCGAACATTTCTTATTACGTCCGATATTTCTCGATCGATCGTTTCCAGCGTCTCTCTCGACCCGCGCAATGTCCACCGCGAAGAAGACGATGACTGTTCTCATCCTAGCGATAACGCTCGTCGCCGCGACGACCGCGACGCCCATCGACTCGGAGAAGAGAGAGAGGCGCTCCGCTTCTTGCGCGCGTACGGTTTTCTGAAGGACGATGGAGGATCGTTGTCGTCCGACAACGCGACGTCTCTGCGTCACGCGCTGTTGCTGTTTCAAGAATACTATCAATTATCAGGAAATGGTGCATTAAACCCTGATACGCTTCGTCTTATGCGCAAACCGCGATGCGGTCTCGCGGACATTCCCGGTCGCGCGTATAGCCCGATCGCGCGAAAATGGCCGAAAACGCGTCTCACGTGGAACTTTCAAGTGGCTAGCGAAGAACTCTTAAGAACGGCCGAAGCGGCGTTCGCGTTATGGACGGTGAATTCATCGTTAACGTTCGCGCGCGACCCGCTACATCGACATTTGCCCGGCGGTCTGAGTGGAGCCCTCGCTCACGCGTTCTTTCCCTCGGTAGCGGTAGACTTCGCCGGGTGACACCCGTTTGGACACGGAACGATTGGACACCGCACGATTGGACACGCAGTATTGGACACGGAACGATTGGACACTGCACGATTGGACACAGAAACGATTGACACCGCACAATGGGACACGCACACTGCATTGGACACTGCACGATTGGACACCGTACGATTGGACACTGCACGATTGGACACCGTACGATTGGACACTGCACGATTGGACACCGTACGATTGGACACTGCACGATTGGACACCGCACAATTGGACACGCTCACTGCACGATTGGACACTGCACGATTGGACACCGCATTATTGGACACTGCACGATTGGACACCGCACGATTGGACACTGCACGATTGGACACCGTCGTCGCCGATGTACACTAAAGCATACGAGTGAAAAAGATAGACAACCATGTACAAGGCAATGGGACAGCAGCATCCGGCCGACGATCGATCGACGCTCGCCGAGCGAAATCGAGAGAATGACGCGGGATCCGCGAAGAAAGCGAGGATGGACAGCGTGTAAGAATATTGAACAACATATTTCAAATTAATACTATTTCGTCCCATTAGCAATGTTTTTCTCATCGTTCGCATTTATGTTTCTTCAGACAAGGTTACAACTGGACGTCAAGACGCGACGTCGCGATCGGACGACCGCTTAGAATCTTGGGAAGATGCTACCCATTGACCAAAACGGCGTACAAACATCTCGAAGTCGGTGTTAACGTCAGCCGACCTTCTTACGTGGAAGTCGTCCTCGGATATTGTCACGGCAAAGAGATCTCGTTTGCGCCGGATGTGTGGAAAGAACTGCTCGATCTGCGATCCGTGCTTACGTCGTACTTTCAGCGCGACGAGCGAGAGGAGATACGCCCTCCAGCCCCGATATATATCGGACAATTAACGTTGCGATTTGGCAAACTTAACAATCTTCGAATACTCCGTCTCGAAACACCTAAGGATCGTCTAGTCGCATCGAGGAGCACCGTGCTAAATATATTCAACTTGGAGCATTGCATCAACCGCATCATTACAACTTTGAGCGGTTTAACCGGATACATCGATAACAAGCTAACGCGCTTCCTCGATATCGCGGCCGACGTCCACGATCGGACGCTTATTCCGACGGCGATACGCGACAGCGAGAACTTCGACCGCAACGATATAATCGATTGCGAACTGCAGGCTCTGCTCTTCGGAGAATCCTAACGCGCTATTGTATCTCTGTACTGTTACAAATAAAAACGCTCTCCTTCGATGCGAGAACCTCTCTT